GTCTATGCCGAGGTTCGGCAGCACACGGCACCGCCCGGCTTAGTCGGTCTCTTGGACTCTCCTCCTTCCCCATACCCAGTGGTGAAGACAGACCTCCAAGCTTCAACCTATTATGTCACGTTACCGTCGACCTTCCGCGTTTTCAGTGTCGCGGAGCCGATTAGAACGGTCACGTCTTGAAAAAGATTTACTTCGTCCGACGCAAACATGCTTCACACCAGCCAATATGTCACAAACGCGAACATGTCACGAACCTGCTCCTCACTATAGCCACGCGTGACCACGACGGCCACGCAGTACGGTGTACCTTATGGATTGGCTCGCCAGAGCTCAGCTGTACTGCAAGACCCACCTAAATTCTCAAAGAGCTAGCATCGTGTGTTTGTACAGGGAATTGTTGATCGAGTACAGTCACCCGCATGATGACAGTTGACAGGATTGTCGTAGGAACACCCGTCTCACGCTTTGTGATATCTCGTTACCACAACATTTATTGACGCGCAATCCTCTGCTCACCGGTTAGCTCCCGTCGGTCACGCGTTCATACCGGAGACCACTGCTTCAAAATTCTTTTGTCATCTTCCTACTATTCATCCCTTCTCCTATTCGCCATCGAGATCTCTTCACCGCCTGTATGTGCGGGTATCTGCACGATTGTACCTGCATCAACATCGTGATACAACGATTGCCTCGCCATATTGGCTGCTGTGCCACGCCGGACAAGCGGGGCTCAACCCTACCTTGCAGTCTCAAGAAGTCACTCTGCTATGATGGGCACGTTACTCCTCACATGATCTATGAGATCATCCAGATATCCACAGGAGATGACCTGCCGTCACATCCGCGATCAGACACAGCCACCTTAGTTTGGGTCGCAGCATCGTACAGATAGCAGCGCCTTCTAGTTTTGGCTGCGATACCGTACACAAATCAGGAAGGAAGTACAATTGGCTTCTTAAGACGTCCTCACTATGTATAAGAAAGGGCCAAAGGGACGGTATGTATAGAAGCAAGCTCAAGCAATTCATTCATGCTTCATCACAACTAAGTCACTATCACCAAATCTTCTATCAACTTCCAACCTTATCTCGAGACTCACTCCACCAAGATGCATTTCCCAACTCTCCTCGGCTCTCTCGCTCTGATAGCCAACACCGCTTTCGCGGCCGACATCGTCATCAACAACAAGTGCCACTACTCTGTTTGGGTCTCAACCGTTCAGAAGGATGCAACTTCGCTGAAGGAGATTCAGCCCGGCGACACATCGACCGAGGCACAGAAACCTGCTCTCGACGGGGTTGGCGTCAGCGTCCAGGTCATCAAGCAGGACGCCTTTTCGAAGGAGCCAATCTTGAGCCTGCAGTACTCTTTGAATGGAGAAGATCTGTGGTACAGCATGGGCAACACGCCGAGCAACGACCCGAACGCTTTAGCCTTCAAAGACGAGAAGCTTCGCATCCACAACACCGACGGTCTGCCTTTTACGGAGATTGTTTGGGTCGGCAATCACAGGCCCGAGGGCACTGAACACTATCACGGCGAGGCAACCCTGACGCTTGAGCTGTGCGACGACTTTGCAAGACGCTTCAGAGCTTAAAAAGGGGACAATGGCTGAGCATGGTGGTGTCGGTAGGCGACCTTTCATGGCTGCAGAGGGTACAATGAACCAGGCGGAAATGAACAACGAAGTGGAGTAGGGTAATGGAAAGAATACAGCGTGTATGAATGTAGGGTATTAGAGAAGACGTCACTCCTTTAGGATTTGATCATTGTCGGATATAATTCAAGTGGGTCCGTTCCGGTCTTATCGAATGGCGCTCCTACCTGTTGAATCGTCCAAACTGTCTACGAAAAATGATCGTAATCTCTCAGTTAATATTGTCTGTATGCGTGACGTCAAGCTTCTGAGGTGCAAAGATAGACCCTTTTGGTAGGTTTTGTTTCGGTTCATCTAAATTGGTCCTAGCGCGGTTCCTGAACGCTAGACCCTGGCAGGTGTGTGATGCTCGATTGCCGACCCTTCGCTCTTGCAAACCACATCCCGCCGTCCGCACCTCTCTGTCGCACTGTTTCGTCAAACGCGCAGCTGTGATCTGTCATAGTCCTTGTGTCATACAGCGAGTTGACTCCAACTTCTTTTCGACGCAGCAAACACACCCCAGCATACGCGCAGCGCTGCGACTACCCTGCTTTAGACGATCAACGCCTCCTAGACCCTCGAGGGCATCATCTACCGCCATGGTTCGAAATGGCAGTCCGTCGCCAGCGGACAACTTTCCGCTGGGTCATTCTGCGACATCCCCTCAACCACAGCCTTCGAAGCGCGACAAACGGCGCAACATGCTCGCCGAGAAGCTGGCAGAGATGATGGCTACCTTCTCCGACAACCGGGACAGTCATTACAGAGCTCAGCTCGCCGCGCTCCAAGCCGACATCAACCTGATCATGAAGGCGGATCCGTATGCGAACCAGCCGCTCGAGGATAGCAATGAAGAGGCCGCCGAGCTCGTCTCGCAGATCATGGGGAACAACGTCCCTACCGCACCGAGCGCGGGTACCGACTACATTGCGCAATGTGGAAAACACTATTCTCGCTTTGTCGACGCCGTCAACGATGCGATGGAAGAGCGCGACTACAACCTGACCATGCTCTGGGTGAGTCCCACGGCTTCCTGCCGTATTGGTACGAGACGCTAACCGCCAATTACGCAGAACAAGCACGAGAACACCAAGAACGAAATCGAAAACTCACACTACTACAAAGTCCAAATCGCCGAAGAAGAACACAAGCTGCTGGCCGCCACCATCCGCGAACGACTTGTCGCAAGCATACAACAACGGACAAACAGACTGAAGCGGGAGAAGGAACAACTTGATCTGTCTGACAGCAACGCTATGCTCCTCCATCCCAATCAGTTTAGCATAGGGCATCCCGCAAGCCCTGGCGGACCGCAAGCGCCACGAAAGACCAGGAGGACAGGACACAAGTTTGGCGACGCGGAGGAGCTGGCTGCCGCCACTGAACACAAGAGAAAGCGCAAGCTGTACGAAGACCAGGACAACGATTCGCCAGGTCCATCTGGTCGCCCCACCGAGATGGGCATCGGCTCACCCTTCCGCGAAGCCAAAGCGCGCACCGTCAATGCCCAATTCGAATCGTCCGCATACTCGCTCGAGCGCCTCTTCAGCGAGAAAGAGCTCAACATGGCCATGAATCAAGCCACCATGGCCGCGTCGCACTTCTTCGCCAAGATGAAGAACACAGAGGCCGCACCGCAGGAAGCCACAACAAACGGCAACACCAACGGCGCAAACGGCGAGCACGCATCCGAGAACGGCGACGCCATGGACCAAGACCAAGACTCCGACGACGTCCCAGGCGCAACCGACATGATGCGCCAGCACTCGTCGAACCCACACGCGACCCGCGGCGCCACACGCTCAGCTCTGAACCCCACGGCGGCTATAGTGAGCGGTCAAATACCTCCGTTCATCTATAACCCGCCCTTTGTTCTAGATGCTAAGATCTTCCAGAAGATCAACGCCTCCGCACCACCACCACCTCCACTCGGCGCACACGATATCGAACAAGACCTGAAGTTGATGCTTAGAGACGCACCGCCCGACGACGATATCAACGAGAAACTTCTACAAGCTGCTTGCAACCCCGTTAAAGCGCGTGACTACCAGGTCCAGCCACCTAACTTCTCAGAGCCTGTTCATGAGATGACGAGTGCGCTTAGGAGTACGGCGCCACATCTTGAGGTTGGTGCTAGCTTGGGCGGTGTCCCGATGAGCGCACAGAGTAGTATGGCGGGGTGGTCGGACGCTGGTAACAACACTCCCCTGGGCCGTTATGGGGAGAGGGACTCGCTGACTGTCGGCGGTCATGGCGGTGGTGTTGCGATGACACGGACTGCGAGTGGGAATGGAAGGGGACGTGGTAGGGGACGCGGTGGTGGAGGGGGAAACTGAACGTGTTCCTTGCGGCTTACACTACAGTAAGAGTGGGTAGATGGAGACACACTACGATAATGTAGGCGTCCAGCTCCTTTGTTTCTTGCCTCGAACTGTAGTAGGTAGCTTGTTCAGGTCTTTCCCTCGAGTAGGATCCTACGGTGTATCAGGTTTCGCGTTACGGTCTCGCACTATATACCCACGACTGGCGTTTGGGCTCGCGGTGCACCACGGCTGTACATATGTACTTATATGAGTTGTTTGATCTCCTTTGTTTATGTCTGCAAGTATCTATTAGACTTGGGTGGAGTTCTCTGTTGGTAGTGCTTATATCAAGTATATGTCACGATTTGCCTTCGTAGCTTTACTCTGCCTTGTATGTCACAGTTTCTTATGATGAGCTATGTTGAATGAGATCTCGAGATGAGCTGGCGTTCGTGTCACGAAAGTACGCTGGCGGGCTAGCGACAGTACGACCTTGCGGAGATGTATGTACCCTGAAGGTATGCACTAACTGATAACCGTATGAGGGGTCCACCACGTTCAATAAAACAACACCCTGCAGCCTACATCGGTACAAAATCGAAAGTTTGTGGCCACATGACGCGAATGTAGACGTCTGGGTCATATATAATGTACATCTTCTGTAAATAGACGTTCGATCTCTTCCTGAAACAAGGCGAGCCCTTCAGACGGTACACCACCCACCACTAGCTCGAGAGTCAGATTATCATAGGCATCTCAAATCGACACCGCAACATCACAAATCAAAGGTACACAAAGTATTTGAAGTATTCTCTCAATTCTCTCTACACAGGATATGGAAATCCCACTATTAGAGTACATGCTATACCACCCAACTTTTCCTCCGAATCATTGATCGTTATTCATCCGATGCATTCAGTAAAAAATCCGTGAAAATGGGCTCAATGTTGGCCGTTGAAACGCCGTGAACTACCACCTTAAAGAAAGAAGAAGTCTATGCTTGAAGATGCACAAGGAGAAAGAAGACGAACAGACTGCATCAAGAAGAAGCGATCCGCTTAGTCGACCTCCTCGACAGTGGGGCCGTCGTCGCCGCCGGCACCACCAGGGGCACCACCGCCGGGCATACCGCCACCGGGCATACCGCCGGGCATGCCACCCTCACCACCGGCTCCGTAGAACTTCATCATGATGGGGTTGGCGACACCCTCAAGCTCCTTCTGCTGGGACTCGTACTCGTCCTTGGTGGCGGTCTGGTTGTCGTCGAGCCACTGGACGGTCTTGTCGATCTCGGCGGTGAGCTTCTGCTTGTCGCCGGCATCGAGCTTCTCGTCGACCTTGGAGTCGCTGAGGGTGTTGCGGAGCGAGTAGGCGTAGGACTCGAGAGCGTTCTTAGCAGAGATACGGGCAGCCTCAGCCTCGTCCTCAGCCTTGTACTTCTCAGCCTCAGCCAACATGCGCTCGATCTCCTCCTTGGACAGACGGCCCTTGTCGTTGGTGATGACAATCTTGTTGGTCTTTCCGGTACCCTTCTCGAGGGCGGAGACGTTGATGATACCGTTGGCGTCGACGTCGAAGGTGACCTCGATCTGAGGAACACCACGGGGCGCAGGTGGGATACCGGTGAGCTCGAACTTTCCGAGCAGGTTGTTGTCCTTGGTGCGAGCACGCTCACCCTCGTAGACCTGGATAAGCACACCAGGCTGGTTGTCGGAGAAAGTGGAGAAGACCTCGGACTTCTTGGTGGGGATAGTGGTGTTGCGCTTGATGAGAGCAGTCATGACACCACCAGCAGTCTCGATACCGATGGAGAGCGGCGCGACGTCGAGAAGCAGGATCTCGGAGGTGGACTTGGAAGATGTGTCACCAGACAGGATAGCGGCCTGGACGGCAGCACCGTAGGCGACAGCCTCGTCGGGGTTGATGGACTTGTTGGGCTCCTTGCCGTTGAAGAAGTCGGAGACCATCTTCTGGACCTTGGGGATACGGGTGGATCCACCGACCAAGACGATCTCGTGGACGGAGGACTTGTCAATCTTAGCGTCGCGGAGGACACGCTCGACGGGCTCCATGGTGGAGCGGAAGAGGTCCTGGCAGAGCTCTTCGAAACGGGCACGGGTGATGCTGGTGTAGAAGTCGATACCCTCGTACAGGGAGTCGATTTCGATGGAGGTCTGCGCGGACGAGGACAGGGTGCGCTTGGCCCGCTCGCAGGCGGTTCGGAGACGGCGGAGAGCACGAGCGTTGGAGGTCAAGTCCTTCTTGTGCTTGCGTCTATGAAAACAGTTAGCATGTGTTGAGGAATACAAGGCGGTCTCCATGAACAATGTGTTGTTGGAGGAGACGATGTAGGCGCCAGGGTGATTTTTGTTTGTACTTACTTGAACTCGTTGGTGAAGTGGTTGACCAGACGGTTGTCGAAGTCCTCACCACCCAAGTGGGTGTCTCCGGCAGTAGACTTGACCTCGAAGATACCCTCCTCAATGGTCAAGAGGGAGACATCGAAAGTACCACCACCCAAGTCGAAGATGAGGACGTTGCGCTCACCCTCGGTCTTCTTGTCAAGACCGTAGGCGATGGCAGCGGCGGTGGGCTCGTTGATGATACGGAGGACGTTGAGGCCGGCAATGAGACCAGCATCCTTGGTGGCCTGACGTTGCGAGTCGTTGAAGTATGCGGGGACAGTGACGACAGCGTTGTTGACGGTGCCACCGAGGTAGGACTCGGCGGTTTCCCTCATCTTGACCAGGACCATGGATGAGATCTCCTCGGGTGTGAAAGTCTTCTCCTCGCCCTTGAACTCGACCTGGATGACTGGCTTGCCGCCCTTGTCGATGACCTTGAAGGGGAAGTGCTTCATGTCGGCCTGGACCTCAGCGTCGGCGAACTTGCGGCCGATGAGGCGCTTGGCGTCGAAGACGGTGTTGATAGGGTTCATGGCGACTTGGTTCTTTGCGGAGTCACCAATGAGACGCTCGGTGTCGGTGAAGGCAACGAACCTTGGACATGTTAGTAGTGGTCGTGACTGTAGGCAAGAAGTGGTGACTTACGAAGGTGTTGTCCGGTTACCCTGGTCGTTGGCGATAATCTCAATGCGGTCATCTCGGAAGATACCTACGCAAGAGTAGGTAGTACCAAGATCGATACCAATCGCGGGTGCCATGATGTCGATATGTGTGTGTAGTGGGGTATCAAAAGGGAAGAAAAAGTAGTGGTATGCTCACAAGTCGGTGACTTATAAAGGTGAGGCTTTCGCGGTGTAGTGTGGTTTGTGTTGTGTAGTGGAAAGAGAAACAGTCCCAAGGCGCGGGCAGACGAAGTTTTTGTATCGCCTGGCAGCGTGGTGTTTCTACAGAATTCCAGCGCCTTCGACGCGCCAAGCAACCAACCAGAACCTTCCCGCAAGCTCGCGCAAGCTCTGCGACCCACTAGAAACAGCTGCCTGGCACGCTTTCCGGGGGCAAATGCCTAATTCTTGTCATCCTGGCTCCACTCGCGGCTGATTGCACGGCCGCGGTATTGCGCCCAACGCCTTCTGCTCGCGGACTGTGAATCTTCGTGCATCTTCTGTCGCCGCCGCAAAGGGCGCTGGCCGCCGCCTTGCTATGACGGAGCCCTCACCCCACCAAAGCCTCAAACGGGTGACATAAGCGAGCTGCCCCGCCATGAGCGGGCCCATATGTCATTCCGCCCATAGCAACGACGGGTAGCTTCAAGTAGTTTCCAGATGTCCAGGATTTTTTCAACCGCCGCGATCGAGTGAAGTCACCGCGGCGGGGTTTGCCTACCAATACGGCCAGCGTCCTGTTTGATCGCACACGACACGTACCAACAGGCTTGTACCTTGCCACGCATATGCTTTGTTCGCGGCCTAGACAAAGGGAGCTTCAAGGTACTCGCGGCTTTCACGTGTTGCCAGGGTATTAGAGACGCGCAATCTCCTCATACAAGGAGTCACTGACCGGGTCTGCAGCCTACGTCAAGATGAAAGTGTGCAATTTAGATGACCTGATGTCAATGTAGGTTCCAGAGTGTTGAGATTTCCCCTTGAATGAGATGCGCTTTCGACACGTGGAGCAGGTCGTGGCTCCTAACACACAAAACAGTTCATGAATGTATACACCATGTCTCGCAATGTGTAACCAGTTCTTGGAAATACTAGAGATCACTTCAATGGGTGGTTGATTAGTGATTCAGCAAAGTCAAGCATCTTCCTGGTTACTCGATCCTGGTACTGCTACTTCATCCATGCTGTCTACGGCATTCTGATCTCAGCAGTATCGTGGGTATTGACGCGCAGACTGCGCAATAGTGACGCTTCTCAGCCCATAACACAAACTTAAAGTGCTAGAGTTTGCGGACGCTGGGGAACGTTACTGATACGTAGGAGGGCTTCATGTTCTTTGGTTGAAAGACTCCGTTGGGCGCGTTGGTAGTAATAACGGCACTCCTAATCTTTCGCTCGCTGTGCCTTAGGGGCTGGGAGAAACCATTCCGTTGCAGATTACATGGTGTTTCCCACTGGCTTCTGCTACGGGATCTGGAGCCCATGAGATTTTCACTGGATTCGCGCAGGTTGATCGCGTAGTCAAACTACATCCCTGGTGTATACGATGTGCCTGGGCATTGGCGGTCTGTGGGTATACGCTCAATATCATCGCCAGAGTTTACTCTTATACACCATGCTTGTGTACAGTCCCAAATCATACAGCCTCATATATCGTACATCTGTCTACCGTCTTCTACTACTCCAAATCCTCCGCCGCCCTACTAAACGCGTTCTTAACCTCCTCCCCAGGCCCTCTCTTCCTCCAAATATTTTCACTATTCGGCCCACTCTTGAGCTTCTCCTCCTTCTCGCGATACCGATCCTGAATCATCCTCTCCTTGACATCCTGTCCGCTATAGCTGTTCTTGGTGCGCATGCAGAACCAGAAGTCGTTCCAGTGATCGGAGCAGCTGCGCAGCTGGCCGTAGCGGTATAGATCGTTGAAGTGGCCGCCTAGTGAGGAGCAGTAGAAGGCGCTATCGAAAGCGGCGCGGCAGGACATTGAGCGAGGGAGGGTGGGGTCGTATTCTTCGAGAGTTTCGGCATTATTGGAGGAGGTTTGAGGATTTGAGGGAGAGGACGAAGGCGTGTTTGTGGAGAAGGATGGCGGTGCGAGGTGTGGGTGGGCGGCGTAGAAGTCGGGGTCGTGGGGTGCGGAGTCGGGTTGTTGGTGTGAAGGTGTATCTATTGTTGATGTAGGCGCATCGCTGGGCTTTTGCACTGGTGATGCTGTAGTCGATATGGTTTGTGGTTGTTGTTTCGTGGAGGCATCTGCGCCTGAGCTTGAGAAGGGCCACCAGGTCATTGTGAGGTGCGCGCGTGTGTGTAGAATCGGCGTGGTAGGTATGCGAGAGACGCGCTATTCGGAAGACTCGCGATACGAGCTGTAGCAGTCGATGGTGTGGGTTGTCGCACGTCGAAATCCTGGCAAACGTTTAATCGATATGCTGCGACGAGCGGTAACGCAATTGGTCGAGGCTAGTATGTTGTAGCTCGAATGTTCAGACGTCTAGGCTCTGGGTGCAATCCGCGGGGCTTGAGACTTGGGCAGAAATTCAAGAAATTCCCAAGGGCAATTGGCACTTCCGGCGAATCAGACATGAGACGGCCCGCACACGTGAGCGGGAAGCCTATACGCTACGTCATGCATCGCACTTGCAGCTGCCTTGGAGATCCCTCAAACTCCACCTTTACGCGTCTTGTGCGTCGTCTAATTCCTGGTTGTGCCTACACGACGTGTCGCCTTTGCGTGTGTATTCTATTCTTGACACTCCCTACGGCCTGTTAGCGATCGCCGTCTCGGTAATACTCAGCGCAGCACAACACCCAGACCTGTGCCGTATCCGCCCCACCTTGTGTTTACCACCTACAACCGCCCCAAACGTGGCATCCACGCATTGACGGCCATTCCCTATGACTCCACGCAGCCCTACGACATAACGATACCCCTCCGCCTCCGACACACCCTATACCCCGCCTACCTACCTACCTACCCCCTTCGCCCGGCCTGGGTAACGGCCCCCCACCGCCACTATGCTTGAGGGACTCGTGTCTACTCTGCTGAATCGGTTCTTGGGCATGTATGTCCAGAACTTCGATCCAAAGCAGTTGAACGTCGGCATCTGGTCTGGCGATGTCAAGCTGCGGGACCTCGAGCTCCGTCGCGAAGCCCTAGATCAGCTACGCCTCCCGCTGAACGTTGTCGAAGGACACCTTGGCTCACTCACACTATCCATACCCTGGTCGAATCTACGAGGGAAGCCGCTAAAAGTCAACATTGAGGATGTTTTTCTGCTGGCAGCGCCCAAGGAAGATGCCGACTACGACGCAGAAGAGGAGGACAAGCGTGCGCACGCCGTCAAGATGGAGAAGCTCGACAGCGCAGAGCTGCTGAAGGAGCGGAACACAGAAGGCATGAGCGCGGAAGAGCAGCAGAAGAATCAGAGTTTCACTGCGAGCTTGATCACTGCCATCGTCGACAATGTCCAAATCACAGTCAAGAACATCCACATCCGATACGAAGACTCGATCGCCGACCCCGGACACCCATTCGCCCTTGGTGTCACCCTCGCAGACTTCAGTGCTATCAGCACCGACGAGAACTGGAAGCCGACCTTCATCCAAGGCACATCCACCTCGACACACAAGCTAGCCACCCTTGGCTCGTTAGCAGTATACTGGGATACGGATGCGAAGCTCATTGGAACTGGAAAGGGCAGCCAGAGCAGCGATGAGCAGCAAATCGACCGAGCCGATTTCATTGAGCGTGCAAAGGGCATGATTGCACGAGGCGATAACCCAGACTTGGGTGATCATCAGTTCATTCTCAAGCCCATCAGCGGTCGCGCTGGTATAGAGATGGACAAAACCGGTAAAATGGACGTCGCAAAGATGAAGGCTCGACTCCTCTTCGACGAGCTTGGTTTCATCATCGACGAGGATCAATATCGCGACGCGCTCATGCTGGTCGACCTGTTCCACTACTTCATCCGCCATCAAGAGTACAAGAGGCTGCAACCCAAGTCATCACCCAAGGAGGATCCTGCTGGCTGGCTTCGCTTTGCCGGCCAGGCTGTGCTCGACAAGATTCACGAAAGGAACCGACAATGGAGCTGGGATTACTTCAAAGAGCGCCGCGACGACCGCGTACGGTACATTGAGCTCTTCAAGAAGAAGAAGCGCGAGGAGAAGCTCGATGCTACGGAAGCTGAAGATCTCGATAAGCTCGAGCGAAAGCTCAAGTACGAGGACCTCCGCTTCTGGCGCTCGCTGGCGCGCAACCAGCTACGCAAGGAAAATATCGGTGTCAAGAAGCCGCCGCCCAAGCAAACCTGGACTTCTTGGGTGTGGGGAAGTAAACAGGAAGAATCCCACGAGGACGAGAACACTCAGATGAGCGAACAGCAAAGAAAAGAGCTGTACGACGCTATCGATTGGGACGAAAAGAAGGCCATCACCGAGTCGGTGGACATGCCTCGCGAATACGTCAAGTTGGAGGTCAATATGAGCCTGCGCACCGGCAGCTTCACACTCAAGCGCGATCCCCATGGCAAATCAAACGAGATACTCCGGCTACTCTTTGACTCGTTCAGCACTCAATTCCTGCAACGCACAGATTCCATGTTCGTCAAGGTCGCGCTTGAAGGCATGCGCCTCTACGACGGTACCACAGACGGCAGTCTTTTCCCTCAAATCATCACAGTCAAGGATGCACCGCCTGTGCCGGACGACAAGCGCATTGAAGAGCTCAATGATGATGAATCACCCAAGGACGATGATGACGATGAGGAAGGCGATGAGAAAGAAGACCCGTTCTTCTTCCTTACGTTTGAGAACAACCCACTCGACGGAGCGGCCGATACAAACTTGACCATGAAGTTGAAGGGAATGGAGTTCGTCTACAACCCCAGATTCGTGGTTGAGGTGGCCAAATTCTTCAAGCCTCCAGAGCGACACATGGAGTCCATCGGCGCACTCATGGAGACTGCCGGAGCAACTGTTGAGGGCATCCGGCAACAGACGCGCGCAGGCCTGGAGTTCGCCCTTACCGAACACAAGACCATCAATGCGCAACTCGACCTGCAGGCCCCACTCATCATTGTGCCAGACTCTGT